ATGTGGCAAAAAGACATATTTTATATTTAAGAGGCTGGATGGATGCTAAACAGTATAAACTGAAAGAAATCTATGCCAAGCTATATACTGCAGTCAAGTTAAAACACACGGAAAGCTAACAAAGAAAAAATTTTGAAAGTAGCCTGAGAGAAAGAGAACATTATCTGCATAGAAAAAAACAAAAGGACTGAGAGTAGATTTCTCATCAAAAACCATGAGGCCAGAAGGAAATGGTACATTTTTCTTTTTTTTAAGAACTGTCAATCAAAAATTCTATATCCAATGAAAATATCCTTCTAGAATGAAGAAAAAAATCAAAACATTCTCAAATGAAGGAAAACCAAGAGAAAGTATCACCAGTACACCTACCCTAAAAGAAAAAGAGGAAATTCTCTAAACGTAAAGATAGTGCCCTGGCTGGAAAGGCTCAGTGGACTGAGTGCCAGCCTGTGAACCAAAGGGTGCCTGGATTGTGGGCCGGGTCCTCAGTAGGGGGTGCATGTCAGAGGCAACCACACATTTATGTTTCTCTCCCTCTCTTTCTCCTTCCCCTCCCTTCTCTCTGAAAATAAATAAAATCTTTTTAAAAAAGATAGTGATAAAAGAAGGAATCGCAAAATGATAGGAAGAAGAAAGAATGAGAAAAGATCAAAATATGGGCAAATACAACTTTCTAACTTTTGTTAAATGGCTGAAACAAAAATTATAAAACTGATGTGGTTCTCAAGGTTATGTAGAAGAAACATTTAAGACAATTGTATTACAAGTGGAGAATTTTAAAAGGATTTAAAAGAAAGTAAGATTTCTACACTTTATTCTAACTGGTAAAATGTCAACACCAGTAGACTGATGTTATACATGTACAATGTAATACCTAAAGCAGCCACTAAAAGAACTATACAAAGAAATACACTATAGATTGAAAAACACTAGAAATAAATCAAAATGAAATTCTAAAAAATGTTCAAGTAACCCAAGGAAAAAGAAAACACACAAAAAATAAGACAACCAATTTACGCCTAAGATGTCAATAATTACATTTAAAATATGTGGTATACACTAAGTAAATAAGACAGAGCTTAGCAGAATAGATTTAAAAAGTGACCCAACTACATTCTATCCATAAGAAACTCACACAACAATTGGAAGAATGTGACTGAAAAAAGCCAGTATCAAAGGTCACATACTTAGAAGGTTCCATTTATGTAACATCTGTGAAATGACAAAACTTTAGATGTGGAGACAGATTAGAAGTTGCCAAAGGTTAGGGATGGTGGTGGGGAAAGGAGTGGATACGACTATAAAGAAGTCATATGAGAAAGATGTTTATAGTGATAGAATAGTTCTGTATTTTGATTGTGGTGGAGTTTACACAGATCTATACATGTGATGAAATGATACATAATACACTGCATATTGTACAGTGCCAATTTCTTGGTTTCTATATTGTATTATAATTATGTAAGATGTAAGCACCGAGGGAAACTCAAGACCCCTCTGTAGTTTCCAATTTCTTATAAATCTATCATTATCTCAAATGAAAAAAATGTTTATAAATAAAATCAAACCACCACAGTTCAAATGTAGACTCTATCACTCCCTACATGAACTTGGGCTTATTAAATTAATCTGTATATAATTTTCTCTTTTGGAAAATGAGAATAACAGTATCCATCAAGTTATGACAAGGAAGAAAAAGGAAATACCTAAGAAAGGTTAAACTACTGATATATGCTACAATGTAGATGAATTTCAAAAGCATTATGTTAACTTAGTGAAAGAAGCCAGACACAAAAGACTATATATTATATGAATCAGTTCATATGACATTTTAGAAAAGGCAAGACTATAAGGATAGAAATCAAGGTACAGGGAGCAGGGACTAAACACATATAATGCTATTGTGAATAATGCTGTTTGTTATACTTTGGATTTTTGAAGTCATGCTAATAATATTCTTCATATTCAAAAAATAAATGTAAACCAACAAGGATGGGGGAAACATAAAACTGAATACAAACAAACCAACCCATTCCAACTAGTTATATTTCAAATGTATAACAACAAAACTGAGCAAAGGAGGGAGTGGGACTAATCCAGATATTTTCATTATATGTTGTCAGTCTAGGGGGAGAACCTGCAAACACACCTTTAACTATTTTTAGTAGGGAAATCCAAATTGAAAAGTAACTAGTTTGTAGTCTTCAAAAATCTTAATACCAAGAAAGACAGACAAAAAAAAAGCTAAAAACAAGCACAGGTTAAGATGATTAAGGAGACCTGACAACAAATGCAATATGTGCTCTTGAACTAAATTCTTTCCTGGAGAGAAACAGAATGTCCTAAAGGTCTTTACTGGGACAGGTGACCAAAGTAAAATATAGTAACTATGGGTTAATGTACTGAATATAATAACTATAGGTTATATTTTTACTTTAACAATGTTGTATTTCCTGAGTTTGGTAACTCTACTACAGTTACTTAAGAGAGTACATTTATTCTTAGGAAATAAGCACTGATATAACTAAGGGTCATGATATACTCATATGTAACCTTTGAAAAGAGTTCAGAGAAAGTTAACTAAGTAAATTATATGTGGTACTTAGTGTATATATTAAAATACATAAGTATAAATATATGTATTTCTGTAGAGTGAAGATGCCTCAAAGGAGCTGGGGTGCTCATAATTAACAGAATAAATCATAGTCTGGAGAAGCAATAGGAGAGTAACATTTATCTTACTCTCTGGCTCTGAAGTATGTGGTACTTTAAAAAACAGCCTCTGGTTGAGAACGCAGGAGAGGAAACTATCTCAAAGGACACTCAGATATTAGTCATGACAAAGACAGAGAAAACATTCAGAAGAAGTCAGGGATATTGGGCCGTTTGTTGACAACACAGAGGGAGGATCTGGGTAGGAAGGAAAAGATAAGGGATTGAGCAAGAACAGACTTCCAGAACAGTCAGAAGGTTAGGCTGGGTGAAAAAAAATGACCTGAAGGCAAAAGAGAAAAAAAGGAATTCCAAGTAGGTGAGAATCAACACCGGTAATCTCAAAGTAAGCAGTTTTTTAGTCTCAAGGTCCCCAGTGCTCTCTGTGGTATCATCCTAGTTCCCAGAAGAACTCTACTAGGAAGCCTTCCCACCTCCCTCCTGCCAGGTAGTTAGACACACTTATCTGTGATCCTATAACACCCTATTGCCTATATCTATCATTTAACTCACATTCAATAATAAACTTTGGTTAAATCAATTAATGACTTACTATAACCTGAGTAGATATAAGAAAATAAACTGGAAATCAATTTAATAAAGAAATGGCATAGTGATTTTGTTTCTGAACTATTTAAAGTAAGAGCTGGCTTAAGATTCAAATAATATAAAATGGAGAATTATTTCTAGTTGGTTTTGGTAAAAGAAATATACTTACTGTACAACAAGCTGTTGGCACACAGTTCCATTCTCAGTTATCAGTTCATTCAGTTTTAATTCAAGGTGAACTTTACCCTATAATGACAAAAATAAATAAACCAAGTAGTCTATTTTCTTGACAAAAATATTAATTAAAAGTTTATATTTTTCCACATGGTTTCCATAATATTTCATTACATGCTAACTAAATACTAGTGACCCCTAGCATGTGGCCTTGCCCACATCAAATTCCTGTTAAATGACTAATAACCAAAAATGTACATCAAAATCTGAAAGAAGCAGTCAAATGCTTGTATCCCACATGGTATTCAAATCTAAGAACTTTAAGCCCAGCTCAACAAATATTGGGCTGGCTAAAAAGTCTATTACATTTTTTCTGTAAAATAAAAGACACATTTTTATTTTCACCCAAAACTTTATTGATTTGGATATTCTGAGTATCTCAGCTATCTCCCATATGGTTGAATGCTGATTATTCTCAATTAATGTCTGGATTTGACTGCTATCAACTTCAACTGGTCTGCCTGATGGTGGAGCAACGTGTAGTGAGAAATCTCCAGGACGAAACTTCACAAACTACTTTTGACACTTTTTATCAGTCACAGAACCTTCTCCATACACTGAATAATCTTTTCTTTCCATTTCAGCTGTGTTTTCACGTTTCTTGAATAAAGCATAATATGCAAAAATGTTGCATATTTTCTTTCTTCTTTAATATTAAAATGGCTACACAAAAATTCACCAATTTTGGTAAGATTTTTTAAGTGCACATTGATTTGACAGCTGTCACAACACAATCTAACAAATTGTTTTGAATGAAGTTAAAGACAACTAAATGCTACTAGAGCCATCTAAGGGGAGAAAACAAATGCACTTTTTGGCCAACCCAATATTTATGTATCTCATATCATGGATTAAAAAGAAAGATAACACTTGCTTTTTAGAAAATTTTGAAATAAAAGCTAATTATAAAATGTAGAATGTTTTCCCCAGAAAAGACAAACCGTCAATAAGGGCACAGGCAATATCATCGAAAGAAAGAGAAATCATTCAATTCTAAAACAATAAAACTAAGTTAAAACTAGTAATGCAACTTGTCAATACTTTTCTTAAGTAATAGATTTATGAAATATCTACTATATTTTAGGAGGCACTGTGGGAGTGGGTAGGAATTTATAGATGTACAACACACAGTTACTGCTTATAGTCACTCACAATCAAACAAAAGATAACACTACAGGGCCAAGAGTACTGATGAAAAAAATGGGATAGTTCCCGCCAAGATGGAGGCATAGATAGAAACCCTTCACTGCCTCGCACAACCAAAAGCAGATAACCACCAATCTAAAAACAATAAACAACCAGAAATGCTAGAAAATTAAACTGCATGGAACTCTGATAAACCAGGAGTTAAAGAAACATTCACCAGACCAGTAAGAGAGAGGTAGGAGAGATGAAGATGGGCAGAGGACCGCAGGGCGAGGTGGAGGGCCGAGGGGGCAGGGCAGCAGACGTGTCAGCGAGGCGGGGCTAGCACGGGGGACCGGGCACCGCAGAGGACCCCGGGAACGAGGCGGGGCCGGCTTAGAAGACCCGGGGCACAGCCGACGTAGGCACTGCAGCAGAGGGCGGGAGCGACAGGGCGCTGGCTTAGGGCATCTGAGGTACGGCAGGGGACCGCAAGCGTGAGGCGACATTGGCTTAGGGGACCCGCGGCACAGTGTCGGACCGCGGCACGGGGTCGGACCGCGGCATGGCGGCAGGCCGTGGGCGTGAGGCGGAGCTGGCTTAGGGGACCCGCAGCATGGCGGCGGACCACAGCTGTGAGGCGGGGCTGGCTTAGGGGGCCCGAGGTATGGCGGGGGACCACGGCAGCGAGGGCGGCTGGGTTAGGGGGCCCACGGCAGGGCGGCGGACCACGGCCACGAGGCGGAGGTGGCTTAGGGGATTCGCGGCAATGGCTGTGGACCGCGGGGCTGGCTCAGGGGGCCCGAGGTATGGCGGGGGGACCACGGCAGCGAGGGGACCACGGCAGCGAGGGGGGCTGGCTTAGGGGGGCCCACGGCAGGGCGGCGGACCACGGCCACTAGGCGGAGGTGGCCTAGCGGACTCGTGGCAACGGCCGCGGACCGCGGGTGTGAGGTGGGGCTGGTTTAGGGACCCACGGAGCGAGGTGGGACTGGGTTAGGGACCCACAGCATGGCGGGAGACCACGGGAGCGAGGTGGGGCTTACTTAGGGTACCTGTAGCACGGCGGGGGACCGCGGGAGCAAGGCGGGGCTGGCTTAAGAGACCTGCGGCACGGCAGGGAACCGCGGCACGGCGGGGGACCGCGGGCATGTGGTGGAGCTGGCTTAGGGGACCATGGAGCGAGGTAGGGCTGGTTTAGGGGGCCCACAGCATGGCGGGGGGAACGCGGGAGAGAGGTGGGGCTGGCTTAGGGGACCTGCGGCATGGCGGGGGACCGCGGCTCGGCAGTAGACCGTGGGCATGAGGCGGGGCTGGCTTAGGGGACCCGCGCGGCAAAGTGGCGGACGGCGGGAGTGAGGCAAGGGTACTGTGCTTTGTTTCATATAAAGAAATCAGAGGTATTGTTCGTATTTTAGATGACTGATATTAAGTGCATTTTAGGCAATAAAGTTTCCTCCTTGTACGTAGGTTAGCAGTCAACATTTTGTGCCTGCAGGCTTTCTTTAATAACTAAGAATATTATTTTCTTTGTCCTAATTTATAGATTATGAGCACACCGCAGGGACTAACCAGTTCCGGAAGTGTTCTGATTGGGAGCCTGCACACCTCTGCATCAGCGATGGTCACTCAGACACACGTAGCAGAAGCCACTGGCTAGAGCCAAAGGTAAGAGTACTGTTACAAGTTAACTATTTTTAAAACTTTTTTTTAAAAAAGCTCCAATCGAATTACTGCCAAGATGGAGGTATAGGTAGAAACCCTTTGCTTCCTCACACAACCAAAAGGAGAGTAACAACCAATCTAAAAACAGTAAATTACCAGAAGTGCCAGAGAAATCAAACTGCGTGGAACTCCAACAACCAAGGAGTTAAAAGAAACACTCCATCAGACAGCTAGGAGGGCAGAACTGAGTAGCTGGGGAGGCGGAGAGGACCCTTGCAAAGTGGCAGCGAGGCAGGGCTGGCTGAATGGGAAACTAAAGACTCAAGCTAGCTATAAACTGTGCCCTGGGGTTGCCAGGTCGGGGGAAACTCCCAGTCTCACAAGACAGAGTTCCCTGGAAAATGGGGATAGAGCCGAGCAAAGGAGCCATTATTTTCTCACCGGCCCCTCCCCCACAGACAGCGGCACAATGCAGCAAAGAGGGTTGCCCCGCCCTGGCAAATACCTAAGGCTCCACAGCACTACTGTAACATAAGAGGTGTGCAGAGACAAAGAAATATGGCCCACATAGAACAACAGATCAGAACTCCAGAAAAAGAACTAAGTGACAAGGAGGTAGCCAACCTATCTGATGCAGAGTTTAAAACACTGGTAATCAGGATGCTCATTTCACTTTGCAATCCGGGTCACAAAATGGAAGAATGAAGGTAACCCAAAGTGAAATAAAGCAAAATATACAGGGAACCAACAATGAAGGGAAGGAAACTGGGCCTCAAATCAAGGATGTAGAACAAAAGGAAGAAATAAACATCCAACCAGAACAGAATAAATAAATATTTAAAAAAATGAGGAGAGGCTTCAGAACCTCTGGGACAACTTTAAACATTCCAATATCCAAATCACAAGGGTGCCAGAAAGAGAAGAATGAGAGCAAGAAGTTAAAAACTAATATGCACAAATAATGAAGGAAAATTTCCCCAATCTTGCAAAGGAAATAGACTTCCAGAAAGTCCAGGAAGCCCAGAGAGTCCCAAAGAAATTGGACTCAAAGGAGGAACACACAAAGGTACATCATCATTAAGTTACCCAAGATTAAAGACAGAGAATCTTAAAAGCAGCAAGAGGAAAGGAGACAGTCACCTACAAAGGCATTCCCATAAGACTGTCAGCTATTTTCTCAAAAGAAAGATTGCAGGCAAGAAGGGGCTGAAAAGAAGTATAACTCATGAAAGGCAAGGACCTACATTCAAGGTTACTCTATCCAGCAAAGCTATCACTTAGAATGGAAGGCCAGATAAAGTGCTTCCCAGATAAGGTCAAGTTAAAGGAGTTTATCATCACCAAGCCCTTATTATATGAAATGTTAAAGGGACTTATTTAAGAAATGGAAGAAGATCAAAAACTATGAATGGTAAAATGGCAATAAACACAACTATCAACAATTGAACCTAAAAAACAAAACAAAAAACAAAAATTAAATAACTTGAACAGGAACAGAGTCACAGAAATGGAGATTACATGGAGGGTTTTCAGTGGGGAGGGGAAGGGAAAGAATGGGGGCAGTACAGGGAATAAGAAGCATAATGGTATAGGAAACAGAAGTCAAGAACTTACCTGTACAACCAATGGACATGAATTAAGGGGTGGGGGGAAGCTGGAGTTTTGGGGGATACAGGGCAAAGCGGGGATTAAGGGGGGAAAATCGAGAAAACTGTAATAGCATAATCAATAAAATATACTTAGGAAAAAAGAAGTACAACTAGGTAGTTACAGAATAGCTATGGGGGTGTAAAGTACAGTGTAGGAAATGGAGTAGCCAAAGAAATTACATGCATGACCCATGGACAAGGGTGCAGGGTTGCCTGAGGGAGTGGGGGGTGCTGGGTGGAGGGACAAAGGAAAAATTGGGAACACTGTAATAGTATAATCATTAAAACATAATTTTTAAAATTAAAAAAAAGTGACATACTGAAAACAACGGAATACTTTCTTAAATAGCTATTAATAGGGATTTTTAAAAACTCAGTAGTATAAATTTAAAACAAAGTATCAGTGTCATAAGAAACAAAGGTTTGGGAATAATGCAATCCGAACTTTGGTATTTCTACTCTGCCACTGGTGATGAGCAATTCTAAAGTGGTTATGAGCCATTCTGAACTAGTTAAGAATCCAGTGCTAGATTACCTCCACCCAGCTGACAAAAAGACAAATTCCCACAGTGCCAACTGGATATTTCAGGGCTGTGATGTTTAGGGGCTGATGATGTAAGTAGTTTCATTAAAGGCAATAAAGTTCATTATCTAGTCACTGTTGCTTTTTGGAACAACCCCTTCCCAGTATCCTTTCACAGAAATCTAACCTGAATCAACCTCACTATTTTAAGGGAATTTGTTACACAAGAATAAATCTGAGATCTACTACACACAAAGCTCAAGGTTAGATAGATAGTAAGTGATAAGCAGTAAGTATTGATGGGTCTCAACCCAAAAGTTTGCATGAGAAAGCTAAGCTCTAAAGAAAGGCACCAGTGATAGAAAAATTATCAGTTAGATGGATTTAGAATTAAACAAATCTTCCATTAAAAATCTAGGCACAAATATTTATGACATCATATATAATTTATAAAATATGTCTTTTTAGTCCTGCACTTAATATCTGCAACCCCTGCTATTCATGAGTGACTTTGAAGAGATTCATGATCTGTAGTAATATGCAGTATTACCCAAGTAGAATTTTTAATCATGTTTGTTGTCACACAAGCATGTACGTGTCACTTAATGAGCCTAGCCAACTGTACCAACACTTGCATCTCAAAGCAGTTTTACTATTTTACCTGTGTGCATTTTATGGTAGAAATTGTATGCTAATAAGGCACTACCAACTATCTCTAAGACAGTTGTACAGAATCTCTATTTCTAGGACAATAAAAACTGTTAGAATAGAGAAAAAGTATAATTTCATTCACAACTAAAAATCATAGCACTGTATCAAGTAAAGCCTAGAAATAAAAAGATATTTAATAGGATTCCACCAGGAATCATTGTCATTGAGTCAGAGCCTACAGAACATATTCATTACTCCCACTGGCTGTAGACGTGACATTCCTTTGGTATTAGTCAACAATAGCGTGATTGTGTATTAACCTGGTCAAGAAAAGAGCGGGTATAGAACAGGAGACAAGACACATACTACTAGTGTGGACCACTAAAATTAAAAAGCATGAGTTAGTAAAGTGTAATTTCTAAACTGTAAAACACTACCTCATTGTATACTTTAACATGGAAATACGTGCATAATACTTAGTAAAAAAAACAAGTTGCAAAATAGGGTATATAAGTTTAATTTATAAAAATGAAATATACTCTATACATACCACTATACAAAATTACTACAAGTCCATCTACTAAAACATTGATAGAGGTTACCTTTTGTTGGTAGGATTTCAGATTTTTTAAACTGTTCATTTAGATTTTTTTAAGTTTCTACTACCAATGTGTGTTACTTTTTATTAAGGAAACATGAACAAAAAGTTTATTAAATTACTTGAAGCTACTTTTCAGGGTCAGAAACCTAAATCTGTAAACACTGTAGGAAATGTACTTGGTATTGTTTAATACATTCACACAAAAGTTCATTTTTACTTACATCTGTTATTGTTTTGTATATTTGGATTGTAGTAAAACAAGTTTTTTGTTGCTGTTTTTTGAAAGGGCAGTTATGAGTTCAGCAAAACATATCCTTTGAAGCCAGGGATAGTGGATAATGATAGCCATATGATACAGTTTTGGCCAATGAGATATAAAAACAGGAGCTGCTGGTGAGCCCACTGAAGAAGCTTGTTGAAGTTAGGGATTTCCTAACTTCAGCAGTGACTGGAGATGCTAAACTTAATCAAAGCTTTCCACAGTCTCATGATGCTAAGCAGATAAAAATTACAGTCCAGGGTCCACCAAGATTGTAAACACCCAGGCTTTCTGTTGGAACCTCTAAAAGACTATGCCTGAGTTGTAAGAATGAACAACATAAACCAGCCCTTACGAAGACTAAAACCTAGCCTGAAATTAGTTGAATCCCTAACTGGAATAAGGTAAAATGTCTCTAATCTACCCCTATGCCAAAAGCAAAAGTAAATAAACAAAATATCCAGGGCTTCAAATTATCTCTAAAATATTTCATATTTCAGTGTCTAGCACTCCATCAGAAATTACTAAGCATGCCAGAACACCAAAAACAAAAAAAACTTGACAAAAAGCAGTAGACTTACACGAGATGTAGATGTTGGAGTTAACTGACAGAGGTTAAAAAGCCATTTAAAAATATTAAAAAAAAAAAAAAAAGAAAAAAACCAAGCAGTTAAGTGGACACTATAAAATGTATCAATGAAACATTTAGAATTAAGCAGTAAAATGACCAAAATGAGGATGTATTCAACATAAGATTATCCACAGCTAAAAAAAAGGACAAGTAAATGGGAGATAAATTAGTCAGTAGAAAATATCCACAAATGAAGCAGAGAAAGAGAGAATAAGGGGCATAGCAAAATGGTCTATTACTCATGCAGTTATAGTCTCAGGAGAGAGAAGAAAGAATAGGGAGGAAAAAAACAGATAAAGAGATAATTGCCTGGAATTTTCCAAAACTGAACAATGATATAAGGCAAAGATTCAAGAGCCCCCAGGAACACTCAAATAGAATATAAAGAAAACCATTCATAGGCACAGGATAGTTAAGTGTGAAAGTATAAGATAAAGAGAAAATCCTAGAAGTAATGAAAAAAAAAAGTATAGCCTACAACTAAGAAACAGTAAGACTAACAAGGAATTATGTTTGATCAGAAACATGTAATGTGATCTGGTCTACAACTACTTATCCAATATCTAAGGGAGATTCAATGACAAAATAATACAGCATTTATATATGTCAGAAAACACTGGAAAATCAAATTTCAGGTACTATACTCCCTACTTTTAATTAAAACCACATTCTTGGAAGATACTATTCTA